AGCCATGTGTGGGGGACCTGGGTCTCGCGTGTCATTTCAGCGAGTGGCTTTTGTTCCAGGGTTTTGTTTTGCTGCAGTAGGTGGGAGTTGGGACTAACTGGGGTCTCTGAAACACACTCAGGAGCGGGTAGACGAGTATGACTACTCGAAGCCTATCCAGGGGCAGCAGCGGAAGCCCTTCGAGCAGCACTGGCGGAAGCACACCCTTTCCTACGTCGACATCCGGACCGGGAAGGTACGGGCCATGACAGCCGCTCAGCCGGCCCACCAGTTCTGGGCCAAGCTTAGGAGCTGGGAGAGGCAGCGTGGATTAAATTCTCCCAGTCAGCTAAGCTCCTGCCTGGAAGCAGAACCTACTGTCAGTGGGGGGTCTGAAAAGCCAGCCTTCTGGGGGCTGGCCCTGGCCGGGGGTGGGGGACACAGAGCTTGGGGAGCCAGGCTACAGTGGAGAAGGGGGACACGGCCCTTCCGGTGAATGGCCTCAGCAGCAGCCTCAGAAGTGCTGTGCAGCGCTAGGGTTCCCCGGACCCAGCTCAAGTGGAGGAGGGCAGGGCCTGGGGGGGGTGCCTGGGACATCAGCCCAGATTCCAGTAAAGTCAGGGCTCTCAGTCCACAGCAGCGTAATTCAAGGAGTCTGCATTTCTGCTGGGACTGAGGGTTCAGGAGTAACCGAGGCACAAATGATGTGCCCTTGAGCTTTGTGCCAGCAGGAGTCAGTCCTCTGGGCCCACAGTCTCTGCTTGGGGGCGTCTGGGCAACACCGTGGCTTTTCAGAGGCTGCTTTCTGACAGGCCTAGAAGGACGTCATGCTTCCTTCCCTGCTGTAGGCCCGTCTTCGGTGGTCTTGGGGTATATGACAGTAAAAGAAACGGGTGCTCATGTTAGAAACTGCAGCGCAAAGTGGGCGTTTAGCTCGTGGGTCAGCAGCACCTTCCTGTCGGCTGAGTGTCTCCAGATGCGCAGTGTCCGTTACAGGCACGCGCGCAAAGGCCTGGCAGAGGGGAGTCGAGGTGCACCCAGGCCCTGCTGGGCACGCTCAACCTCCACAACCAGCGCCCCGCTGGGAATTTGGGTCATTTTCAGTAAAGCCTGAGTGTTTTCATGTAAATCTACCTACTTAAATTTTCAAAAGCACACAGGGGCGGGCCGCACACCCGCTGTGCCGACCCCCACTCTACTCCCCAGGTCTCGCTACAGTACAGGCCCGTGATCGACCAGACTCTGGATGAGACTGACTGTGCCACGGTGCCCCCGGCCATCCGCTCCTACTGATGTGGGCACCCATCCCCTGTGCTGGGGGCCGCAGCAACAAGCTTCCTGTCATCCTTTGTTCTTGTGAGATAATAAAACTGGCACCATCCTTAAATTTCAGACTCGCTCTTATTTGCAAGTTCATGTAAAACCTAAAGGCTGCCTGACTGTAGGTGTGTGTGTTGACCAGAATATAAAATGTGATTATCTTCTAAATATAAAATATGGATGTGACGCTGCAGCACAGATACTTAGTTGTAGTAAATGTTAAGTAAAGGGCCTCCCCTGGTGGCGCAGCAGTTGAGCGCTGGGCTGCAAAGCTGCCCACAGCCTCTGCAGCACCAGTTTGATCCCCGACTGCCAGCGAGGGTCCCACTTGGCACGCAGACCTCTCCTGCCACGCCCGCTGCTCCCCTCAGCAGTGTACTTCGTCAGTCTGCCTGTTCTGCTCCCCGCTCTGGCTCTGGTGAATCCTCTCACCCTCCCGCGCTTCTGACTCTACCCAGTGCTTGTATAAATAAGTAAATCTTTTTAAAAAAATGTTAAGTAAAGATGAATTCTGGTGCCTGACAGCAAGTGAAGAAAAGAAACATTTCCTCCTTGTCCTTGTGTCTTAAATTATTTAAATAACAATACTAAATGGCACAGACATGGATGTGAGCGAGCATCTCTATTCTCGGGGGCTTTCTGGCAGGTGTCACTCACTGTAGTGCTGTTCTTTCCGAAGTTTGCTTTTATGAGATGCTACTATGAATTTACCCCTTAAAGTGCCTTTTTGGTAAGATAAGCTGCTCAGGGCGGGCGTGGCGGGAGGCTGGCTTCACTGGTGTGTAGCTGCCCAGGAGGGCCTGTCCCCACTGCTCAGGGCGGGCAGGAGGGTGTGTTCTCCCCTGCTCAGTTTCCGTTCTGTTCGACCAGCTCTGAAAACAGAAACTGAGTAAAGCAGGGCTTGGATGGAGCCAGTGTCTGTCCAGGTTCCTGAGCAGCAGCAATCATCCAAGGAGGGGCCACAGGCCTCCCCCAGATTCTACAGCCAGGGCCTTCAGGGGCGCAGGGGAGGTCTCCAGCGAGCCAGCAGCTCTTAATGGCCCTGACCACAGCAGCCTCAGGGAGAGCCGTGGGTGCCCACAAATTGCACTGGACAGAAGAGGGCAGGAGGAAGGGCCTGCCTCGTCCAGTGCCCCGCAGAGGTGGGAATGAGGCACATGTGTGCCAGGGACATCGACAAGGGTGGGAAAATACTGGGAACGCCAGCAGAGAAAGCCAACGTTTAGAAAGCTTCGAAGGAAATTCAGCTATTCCTGATGATCCAACTACCCAGCAATGAGACAGCCAGAGGCTGCCCAGGGTTGAGACCTGGGAGAGTGTGGGCGTGAGCAGAGCTGCCTCCTGCGCGTCCCAGGCTCCACCTGAGAAGCATCTTCTCCAGGGACAGGTGAGGACACCCAGCCAGGAGGGGGTGAGTTCAGGACAGACAGCAATGTCAATGGCATACCCATGGACCACGGTGTTGTAGATGGGACAGAATATAGGGCTGGCTGCTCGCAGGAGGTGATTTCCACCTTGTACCGTGGTGACAGGTCTCCAGGTACCACCCTGTTGTAATGGCAGGAAGGGCCAGAGCAGGTTCTCTATGATTCTATGGAGATGGGTGAAGAAGTCCTGGAGCCCTTGGTAGGTTTTGTAGGCTTTTATTTGGATTTACCAGGTACATGGCAGGCAGGGGTGCCTCCCAGCCCCCAGCTAGTCTTCACTCTTTCTGAGCTCTCCAGTGTTCTCTCGTCGTCTCTGCTTCTCTTTCTATGTCTTTGCTCTGCTGTTCCCTGTGACACCGACCTTATAAGCCCAGTCTCTCAGCCCAAGTGTACCCACATATGTATGCCCATAGCCTACCCCAGGTGCCGCCATCAGGCGTGTGTTCAGCGCCACAGGATTCCAGCATCAGTCCTAATGGCAGGAGGGCAGAAAATCCTGATCCTTTACTTACCCTACACCTGTCAAGGCCAAAAAGGGCCTCTGCCTGTGAAGAGGCCTGGAAGGTGTGGACTTGCCAGGCAGCCGCCAGGCACAGCCTCCAGGATGAGCCGCTGGTTTAGGAGTCCGGGCAGGTGTGTCCATAACCCTCCACTACCCAGCAGCTAAACCCCTTAAGAGTCGTCCTTGTGGGCCTCCCCGGTGGCGCAGCAGTTGAGCGCTGGGTTGCGAAGCTGCCCGCAGCCTCCGCGGCGCAGGTTCGATCCCCGGCTGCTCCCCGGCCACCGGAGGAGGGTCCCGCATGGCGCACAGACCTCTCCTGCCGCCCGCTGCTCCCCTCAGCAGTGTCCTTCAGTCCTTCTGCCTGCTCTGCTCCCTGCTCTGGCTGTGGTGAATTCTCTCACCCTCCCGCGCTGACTGTGCCCAGTGCTTGTATAAATAAATAAATAAGTAAATAAATAGATAAATCTTTAAAAAAAAAAAAAAAGAGTCGTCCTTGTGCTGCTGCGGTGATGGTGGTTTGAAGATGACACACTGACACACAAAAAAACAAAACACTGAAACCCCGGCAGAGGCTCCAGTTCCCTGCAATCGGCGTTTTTTGTTTTTGTATTTTTTTAATTTATTTTCTTTTTTTTTTTTAAGAGTTACTTATTTGTTTGTTTGTTTATTTACACAAGCACTGGGTACAGTCAGAAGCGCAGGAGGATGAGAGAACTCACCAGAGCCAGAGCGGGGAGCAGAGCAGGCAGAAGGACCGAAGGACACCGCTGAGGGGAGCAGCGGGCGGCAGGAGAGGTCTGCGCGCCATGCGGGACCCTCCTCCGGTGGTCGGGGAGCAGCCGGGGATCGAACCGGCGCCGCCGAGGGCGCGGGCAGCTTCACAACCCAGCGCAACCCAACGCTCAACCGCTGCGCCACCAGGGAGACCCCAATCGGCGTTTTTTTTTAAAGGATTTATTTATTGGGCCTCCCCGGTGGCGCAGCCGTTGAGCGCTGGGCTGCGAGGCTGCCCGCGGCCTCTGCAGCGCCGGTTCGATCCCCGGCCGCCGGCGAGGGTCCCACCCACCCACCCACCCACCCACCCACACAAGTAAAGGGTTTATTTATCTGTGCACACAGGACCTGGGGCGCAGGCCAGAGGTGTGGGGTGAGAGGATTCCCCAGAGCCGAGCGGGGACCAGGACACGCGGGCTGCCTGAAGGGCGCTGCCGGGGAGCGCGGGGCAGGAGGCTCGTGCGGGCGGCGGGGCTGCTCCTGGCGCCGCGGACGGACGCGGACGGAGCTCGCGCCGCCTCACGGGCTGCGCCCCCAGGGCGGCCTGCGGTCGGCGTCGCCCCCGCACGCGGCCGGTCCCCCCGGGCGGCCGGGCGCAGGTCTGAGGGCGCCGGAGGCGCAGCCCGGGGTGGGCCCGGCAGGCGCGGGCGGGGAGCGGGCTCGGGGGCACCCGCCGCCGACCAGCCCCGCCGGGACGCGGCCCCGCCTCTCCGCAGGCGCCCGGGGCCGCTCGAGCTCGGGGCGGGGGGGCGGCCGGCGGGAGCTGCGGGGCGCAGGGGAGCCCCGAGCCGGCAGGAGGAGCGGGGTGAGGGCGGGGTCCGTCCCCGCGGCGCCCGGGCGTTGCCTGGCGACGGAGCGCGCGGGCGGGCGCGCCGGGTCCCGGGACCGCCCCAGGCGCACTTCCGGCGCCCCCGGAAGTGGCGTCACCAGGCCCCGCCCCGCGGAGGCGGAAGCGGAGCCGCCCCGACCGCAGGCAGCCGCGCCGCGCGCCTCGGCCCATGGCCGCCTACCCCTACCGCCCGGGCGCCGGCCCCGGCCCTGCCGCGGGCGCCGCGCTGCCCGACCAGAGCTTCCTGTGGAACGTCTTCCAGAGGTGAGGCCCGGCCGGCCGCCCCAGCGCCGCGCCCAGCCCGGGCCCTCCCCGGCCTCCCCCGCCGGCCGCCCGGGCCCCTCCCCGGCCTCCCCCGCCGGCCCTGACCGCTCCCCTCTGCCCCCCGCCGCCCCGGCCTCCGCCCCGGCCACCCCCGCCGCCCCGCCCCTCCCCGGCCTCCCCCGCCGGCCGCCCCGGCCCCTCCCCGGCCTCCCCGCCCGCCGCCCCGGCCCCTCCCCGGCCTCCCCCGCCGGCCCTGACCGCTCCCCTCTGCCCCCGCCGCCCCGGCCCCTCCCCGGCCACCCCCGCCGGCCCTGACCGCTCCCCTCTGCCCCTCCCCGGCTCCCCGCCGGCCCTGACCGCTCCCCTCTGCCCCCCGCCGCCCCGGCCTCCGCCCGGCCACCCCCGCCGCCCCGGCCCCTCCCCGGCCTCCCCGCCGGCCGCCCGGCCCCTCCCCGGCCTCCCCGCCCGCCGCCCGGCCCCTCCCCGGCCTCCCCCGCCGGCCCTGACCGCTCCCCTCTGCCCCCCGCCGCCCCGGCCCCTCCCCGGCCACCCCCCGCCGGCCCTGACCGCTCCCCTCTGCCCTCCCCGCCTCCCCCGCCGGCCCTGACCGCTCCCCTCTGCCCCCCCCGCCGCCCCACCGCCCCGGCCTCCCCCGCCCGCCGCCCCGGCCCCTCCCCGGCCTCCTCCGCCGGCCCTGACCGCTCCCCTCTGCCCCCCGCCGCCCCGCTGCCCCGGCCTCCCCCGCCGGCCCCCCGCCACTCTGGCCGCTCCCCTCTGCCCCCTCTATCCTCCCCGGCTCAGCCCGCTATCGCTATCCCCAGCAAGGCTGCGGGAGGCCGCTAGGTAAACAGGCCCAGGCTTGGAGCCACCCAGGCGCCCACGACCGATTGGACAGCGGGTCTCGCGACTGGGCTGCCGGCCTGGACGGCATCCCCCGCCTCCCTTGAGGCCCCCCCAGCACCCCCCCCCCCAGCCTTGCAGTGAATGAGTGAGGGGGGGATTGACTTCCTTGTTGGTCAGGGGAGAAGAGAAAGCGAAACTAGAGAAAGCTGTTCTGTCTCTGGGGCCGCTGGCAGGTGGGGCGCTTAAGGGGGGGGGGGAGGAGCCGGGCCTGGCAGAGGAGAGGCCCACAGAGCAGGCCTGGCTGCCTCCTTCCGGCAGCCGTCCTGCCCTTCACGCCCCAGCTGATCGCCTGGGTTCTGCAGGGTGGATAAGGACCGCAGCGGCGTGATCTCAGACAGCGAGCTGCAGCAGGCGCTGTCCAACGGTGAGTAGGCGCCTGAACGCAGACCTGGCTCCCTGGCGGAGGGGCCTTTCCACCCAGTCCTGCTGCAGGGCCCTGGCTGGTGCTGCCCAGGGCTTTCTGAAGGGCACAATGTGAGCAGAGCGCCTCCTGGGTGCCAGCCCCTGCTGGGCTGGGCTGAGGGCTGATCACCGCCTTGGGAGCTTGTTCCCGGCCTCCGTCGCTGGCCAGAGAGCACCTCCCGTGCAGACTCTGCTAGGTCTGCAGCAGACCTTCCCCCACGCCCGTGGTAAGCATCATTGTTGCGCCCCAGCGTGTGTGCAGGGCCCATTCTCTGGAGAATGACCCCGATTTACATGCCAGGAGAACACAGCTCTTCCCCCTGACCTCAGTGGCTGGAGAGGATTTAACAGTTGCCTGGAGGATGTTCATTCCTCATTCCTAAGACACGTGAAACCAGTACCAGGCTTCACAACCAGGCCAACGAGTATGCATCGGGGCCATCTCCCAGCGGCCCCCACACAGGCAGCAGGTGTCTCGAACTGCTGATTTGGAGCAGGCAGGAGCCAACCCCAGGAGGGCTGTCCGCTCACCCTCGCGGCAGAGTCCAGCCTGTGCGCCCTGGGCTCTTGTTTGGTTTGCATCTTAAAAGCCTGACTCCTTTAGCCCATTACATTTTTTGTAGCAGATTAGCTGCTGAAAAATGTAGTTAAGTTTGTGACTTTCTGGTAGCAAAAATTTAGAATTTTGGGAGTTAGACTAAAAATTTCATTAACCTAGTCTCAGACACCGCACTCTGTCGTGCTCCTGTCCTGCTCGTCTGCGCCTCTGACGGAGGTCACGCTCCCTTAGTCCTGTGCTATGAATGCCTTTGTGAGTCTCTTCAGGCTGTTCTGAGACAGGCAGGCGCTCAACACCTTGTTCTCCGCCTCTGGAGGAGGTGCGGTGTTTCCAGTCTTTTTGCCCAGTCACTTGTGACTCTCCCACCGAAAAGCAAGAAGGGGACCCAGATGCTCCTGAGTGCGCTGCCTCTGTTGGGTCCAGCGTGGGAGGCCTTGCCCGGGCGCATGCAGGAAGTGCACCCCAATGGCCGTTAGGGCTCCTCAGGTGGCTGGCGAGGACCAGGCCAGAAATGCGGCCAGGTTGGCCCTGAAATGTGGCACCAGCACCAAGCAGCACGGCCTCTCTTGGTGGGATGGACTTCTGCCTCTGGGCCAGCACAGCGCTCACATTCCCTGCTCTCACCACCGAAGGCAGTGCTGTGTGCAGGAGAGGCCTCGAAGCATCTCTGGCAGGCAGGCTCCTGCGGGAGAGTGTTGACTGTGGGGGCTCTGCTTCCCTGGGGGGCATTTGTCGAGTGCTCACTAGAATGCGCCCCTGCTTGAAGCCTGTAAACAGCTTTGATCTCTGAGGCTGCCCCACAGGGGGCAGTGTCTCCTGTGGAGGGCGTCCCTCTAGCCCTGTAGAGCAAACATCTTGCCTCCCTGGGCGTCAGGAATGGAGGCGCCGGCCAGCTCCTCGGAGAGGGGCCACCTCTCACTGCTCCGCTTCTTGCAGGTACCTGGACGCCCTTCAACCCCGTGACCGTGAGGTCCATCATATGTAAGTGAAAGGCCGTGGGCCGCCCTCCCCTGTCCTGCTGGTCCCCGCAGGTGCCCCAGGAGGGCCCTTCCCAGTGTCCCCCGGCTGTACGCGGTGACTTGTGAGCACACGAGCCCTTGCGCTCCAGTCCCTTCCGGCTCTGCCCAGGGATGGCGACCAGTGCGTCACTCTCTCTGCAGACCTGACTCAGGCTGAGGCTCTCTTTCCAGCCATTTTGAAACCAGGGGAAATGAGGGTTTGGGTTCATTTGTATCTGGACCTGGAATGAGGCTGATTGTCTGGGGAGAGCAGGTCTTACTCAGCCATGGTCTTTCTCATGGGAGTGGCCGGCCCGTCCCGCCGAGAGGAGGGCTCTTCTGTGCCTGCAGGGGCAGCCGGTCCCGTGGGGCCTGGGGCTCCTGCTGCTGTGGCCCCACCAGCTGCCGCTGGGGCTGAAGGTGCCTCCTTGCCCCACAGCCATGTTCGACCGCGAGAACAAGGCAGGCGTGAACTTTGGCGAGTTCACGGGCGTCTGGAAGTACATCACCGACTGGCAGAACGTCTTCCGGACCTACGACAGGGACAACTCGGGCATGATCGACAAGAACGAGCTCAAGCAGGCGCTCTCAGGTTTTGGTAATCCTCTTCTCGATCGTGTAGCGTATTTCATTTTGGAACCGAGCTGCCACTGAAGGTGTCTTTACTTAGCTCACTGGTTTTTTAAACCCAGTCTGTGTAAAAATTTCATTTTCATCATGGTTTTATTTTTTATTTGATGTGGAGACTTTCAAAAAACAGTTTTTCATCCAAAATGAGATACAGGCTATACAGGCTTCCCGTGGAATGCTGGAGTCACAGTGCAATGAGAATGCGGCTTCAGACCCAGCCAAGGGCCCAGCGGGGCCTCGTGCCCTCCAGGGCCCCTGTGAGGCGCCGGCCGCAGGTCACATTGTCCAGCGTGTGCTCCAGGCTGTGAACACGGTACCTTCCAGAGCAGTTGGCCACCCCCACGTTGGGCTGGGCTGGAGGCAGCTGGGATTGTTAACTTAAGAAGGAAAAGCTGAAAACCCTGAGGTTACTGATACCGGAATTGTAGGTTTTCAGGCCTAGTCTCCCAGCCAGGAATGGATCCCAAGCTACAGGGGCAGCGCTGAGTCCCAGCCACTAGACCCCACAGGTTGATGTCTCACAAAGCTGCAGCAGGAACTTCGCAGATGCTCAAGCAAGCGAGAAGAGGCAGGTTTGTTTAGAGAAAGAAAAAGTTTATTGAGGAGAAAAGGAACAGAAATAAAGTGGGACTCCCCAGCCAGGAAACCAGGCCAGGGAGGGGCAAGGAAGCCAAAGTGGAGTCGTGTCTCAGGGAATATATCCCTTCTTTTCCTAATTATTCTAAACCCCCACCAGTCTCTTTGGGATTGGTTAGTTCTCGGTGGTCTCACCTACTGCCCTAATGTCTCTGTGCCCAGAACTAAGTCTCTGTGTCACAGCCCTTTTTTTCTTCATTGTTCTTTATTTGGAATGTCCTGTTCACCTTAAGGTCATAAAGTAAGTCCCTAATGTTCTGGGGTGTTTGATTAGTCCCCTTTGGAATTTGTTGTCCTTATCTCTGAAGTGTTCCTTACCTCTCCTGAAGTCCCTGCACTGTCCTTGAGGCTGCCTAATTATCCCTAATTTGCCCTAGGATTCATTACCAGGCCCTTGGCGCAGCACCTTCTCTGTTAGGTCACAGACTGTTGATAAACGTCTCCCAGGACAAGGAGGGAGGGTGTGACGGCACCCTTGAGGGCATCTCCAGCTCAGTGATGCAAAGCACTTCTCATTCCCAGGGTCCCTAGCCAGCCTGTGCCCCTCCTGTGTGCTCTGCTGCTGTGTCCATCTGACCTGTGACTCAGTGCAGCATCAGGGAGCTGCTCAAGCTTCCCCAGAGTGGGGCAGGGCTCGGATTGGACCTCAGCCTCGGGCTCTGAGCTGGAACTTGGAATGCGGCTGGCCTTGCCCTGCCCTTGGGCAGGAGCTGCCGGAGCCCACAGGGCAGCAGGAGGGAGGGCCGGCCCTCCACTGGTTGTTGGGCCAGGAAAGGCCAGAGGCAGGCTCAGCCCATCTGGGGCAGCCTAGGAAGGAGCCTGGGGCTAGGTGCAGGCCAGCGTCTTCTGGACACATTCCACCTGGAGCCCTCTCAACCCACGGGCAGTCTGGCCCTGGGAGCTGCTGGCAGAAATGGTGGTGTGGATGGCACCCCCGGCCTCTTGAGCCTCCAGGAACAGCCAGACCCCTCTGCTGGGCAGGGACAGGCATTTTCTACAGAAAATAAAAATGCTGCTGCATTTCTTGGGTTATTCCAAAAAGGTTCTTTCCGATTGGTTCTTGCTTTACCAGCCTTCGGAACCCCATCTTGATGGAGGGAACTTTGTTATCCCTTTCACATGACCTTGGAAGATTTTTGGGAATGACTCCTAGGGTGTGGGCCTCAGAAGCAAAGTTCTGCTAAGTTTTGATTCGTAAGGATAAGTCTCTTTCCTCAGCCAAGCAGGGGACTGCACTGCACCTTAGCTGGGAGTTGGGGCTTGAGCCCGAAAGTGCCCGCTGACCCCTTTGGTTCCACGCAGTGACTCAGAGCCGCCAGGGCTGCGAGCGTGTCTGTCCAGCGCCTCTTCCCGCCGGGTTGGGTCTTGTCTTCCTGCTTGCAGGAGGGGGTCCTGTTCGTGAGTCGCAGAGCACCCTCTGGAAGGTACCACCCGTGTGTGCATGCGGGGTCTCCGCGGGGAGGTGACTGAGACTCGCCGGGACGCTGGGCGGCCTGTCCTTGACATGGTCCCAACCAGGTGTAGCCAGTCAAGTATCTGGCGCCCAGATCTGGTCTCCTGAGTGGGTGAGGGGCCAGTCACTCAGGAAGTGGACAGGCGGGTAGGAAGTAGGTGTCCACTCGGAGCAGGTCCAGGGTCTCCCAGGAATATGGCCAAGCACCCCATCTCTCCGCGGAGACCTTCCAGACAACCCCAGGGAAGACGTGGCCAGAGCTCCGGCCACTGCCCTGGCTGTGCTCCCCTGGCTGTGCTCCCCCGGGGCGGGGCGCGCCTGGCCTTCTGGGCCTGAGTCCCGGTGCTGGGCTGGGCCAGCGCCTGCTCGAGCCGGCCACCAGGGGGCGCACCCCTCATTCTCCTGTCCTCCTCAAGGCTACCGGCTCTCGGACCAGTTTCACGACATCCTCATTCGAAAGTTTGACAGACAAGGACGGGGCCAGATCGCGTTTGACGACTTCATCCAGGGCTGCATCGTCTTGCAGGTAGGGGCACCTGCTGGCGACAGGTCCTGGGTGCGGGCGGGCGCCTCGACCTGCAGTAACTGGGGCAGACCTCAGGGTTTGTCTCCAGAGCAGATGAAAGCCAGTGTCATCCCGTAAGGAGTCCCAGTTAGGGCATCGGCAGTGGCACTCTTCCCGCGGGAACATTCCAGAAACCCACTGGAAGCTTCCCAAGGCTGGTGGTGCGGCCACAGGTCTACTCTCATGTTTTGTTTTCGTGTTGAACTGGGCTGCAGACCAGAGGTGGGAGGTGGGAGGACTCCCCAGAGACAGGGTGGGGAGCAGAGCAGCAGATCCACTGAGATCCACTGCTGAGGGGAGCAGCGGAGAGAGGAGAGGTCTGCTGTACCGTGTGGGTCAGCTCCCGGGCAAGATCGAACCCAGGCCGTGGCGGTGACCGCCTGAGACTGACTCTTGGGCCACAGGGA